CGTGGGGAGGAGCTGTGTGAGCTGCTCACTCCCCCAGGTGTTTTTACTGGTTGGATTCACTTCTGGTCAGGTCCAATACAGCGAATCAGAGTTCTGGGAAAAAAGTATGTTTTCTTCTGAGCAGAGCGTGAGATTCGGAAGTACACAAGGACAGAGTCAATCTTTATCTCTGCACCTGTATTCACTCCTTTACTTTCCCAAGGAATATTTCACACAAACTATTCTTTCCCAGACAACCAAACATTGTACACAGATATATTGATGCCCAGAAAGGACCTTGAAAAGAATATGTGTGTGTGCTGGTGGGAGGAGGTGTATGTGTGTGTAGCAAGATATCTGGGTCAGTGAGTTGTAAGTGAGAAGACAATATATATGGGATTACTTAAAACAGTTCAAACAATACATGTTCACTAAAATACAGTTCAAAATAATACATGTTTACTTCAATACAGTTTAGAACCATATCTGTTTACTTTAGTGTTTACAGAAGTACCTGACTATGCCGGACTTTTGTGCAGCCTACGGATGCTCTAATCGCCGCAGTCTGGAAACAAGAACCCGTGGAATCACCTTTCACGTGTAAGATATGACAATATTATGACTATAATTAGGATAATCGTTAATTACTTAGTGGATGTATGTACATTACAAGTCCTGCTACACAGGATCAGTGGGGCTATGTGAGATAATAGTATTGCAAGATTGTTGTTGACCCAGCCTCTTTAGAATATGTTGCTACCATTTCTCCATTTCTTTACACAATTATTTAAAGTTTCTTTTGGACACCTTTTTTATAACTCTTAGTGTGGTTGTCTTATTCTTAAAGTATACATACATTACATACATACATACAATTACCCCAAAAATATGATAATTTAGGTGTGTATTTTTGTCCTTACCCTTAATGTTAAAGGAAAGAAGGGAGGAAAATGTTGACAATAATTTATATATCTGGCTACCTTTCTCATGTTTTTAAGGTTTCCCAAAACCGGAGAGAGGAGGAGGCAGTGGGAACTCGCCCTAAGAAGGGACGGTTTTGTTTCCTCTGGCAGAACACTGCTCTGCAGTGAGCACTTCAGGAGTGAGGACTTTGACAGGACGGGGCAGACTGTCCGGCTTAAAGATGGTGTTGTGCCAACAGTATTCAACTTCCCAGCTCATCTTCAAAGGGTATGTGTATCATTGGCCAACAAGAATTCAAGGTGTATAAGATTGATATATAAATATGTGATTAAATGTCACACTTTAGTTTTTCTTTCTGCAAGTTTAGGAATAAATAATGTGTTGTGTATTACAGCACATTTTAAACACTCAAAATGTCTTTAATTATGTTTATTTTAGCCGGAAGCAACAAGAAGCACAACCACTTCAAGAAGAGCGGAAGATGAACCTCAGCCTAATGTTGTGAGTATTCTGAATGTGGCCAAGACCAGAGAGATGGTCATTGATTTCAGGAGGGTGAGGACGTCTCCTCTACCCCTGTGCATACTGGGAGAGGATGTGGCTGTTGTGGAGGACTACAAATACCTGGGAATGCACTTAGACAATGGGCTGAACTGGAGGATCAACACTGACGCTGTGCACAAGAAGGGGATGAGCAGACTCTATTTTCTGAGGAAGCTGAGATCCTTCCACGTGTGCAGCAAGATGCTGGAGATCTTCTACCGGTCTGTTGTGGCTAGTGCACTCTTCTTTGCTGCGGTCTGCTGGGGGGGGCAGCATCAGAGCCGTCGTATAATGTATATGTATTGTATCATATATTGTATGTATATAATGTATTTATTAAATCTTCATGTTCCATGATGGGCCTCACCACCTTCAGTCACAGGTACTGGCTCCTCGATTGTCCTTACACTCTCTGTCTCTCACCCTAAAACCAGACCCTTTCTTTTTAGACTAAAATGTCGGGTATCTCTAGGGTCCGTTTGGTGTTGTTGTCTCATATAACCCGTTTAAACCATGCCATTCAGCCAAATATATTACAACCTTCTCCAATAAATAAGTGTGTTATAACTTAAGCAGTTGGGCCTACCATGCTCGGCCAAAGAAAGACTTGGCAGCATCTCAGCTTCAAATAGGCCTGTAGTTAAAAACTTTGGTCAGCTGTTCGACTCACTTGTCGTCTATGATTTATTGTGTTTTGCACTTTAACCACATTAGGAAAATCGCCCAAAGAAGGACCTAATTATAATTTCTGTCATAGCAAATGTCATGCCTGCTAAACATATGTCATTAATGTTACTTTAATGAACCTTTTCTGTTGCTTCAACATATGAAACTTTGTATCTCTCTACCTCCTTTGCCTTTTTCTGCACTTCGCAGCCCTGATACGCAGCACTATGTTCCCCACATATGTTTATGTTTGCTGAGTCTGTCTAATAAACCCATAAAATGGTTGTGAAAGAATACCAAAGCTGAGGCTGGACGATGATTGATTGTTGGTGTGCCGTGTGTCTTATTGGTTTTGTGTTATACTGTATTTTATTGTGTGCAGCTGGTCCTTATCTCCAAGACACATTTAAAACAACATAACCTTGAACCTTGAAGCCCCATCTCTCCCCACCTGCCCCTGCTTCCTACATCCCCTCCACACCACACCAAGTTGTTCTTCTTAATAATAATACTACATTTATTTTGGGGGGCCGCCTTTCATAACACCCAAGGACACCTTACAGGGCATAGGGGCAATATAGGGAACAATTAAAACAGTGGATTTAGTAAGATATCAGCCGGGGTAAGACAAGACAAACAGTAAATGGACTACAGAAGGACACAAAAGGACACAGGGTACAGTTTATATTATTCTTGGGCTTTTTTCGACTACAAGAACTCAGCGCACCGTGCTGTGAAGTGGTAACGTATTTCAAAGGTTCTGGATTTGTTTACAAATCTAGAAACTAAATACTAAACTAGGACGATATGAACATCTCATGTCAAAAATATTTGACATAAACTGGCCTGTCAGTGAGCTCATTTTATGTTGGTTTGGTTCTTCTGATAAAGGTGTGAATATCTAAATAATATATACCACCATATGCTATTGTCATTAGTTGTGTCCCTGTTCTTCAAGCTAAGGCATTGCTAAATTAACAACTCTTGGCTTACAGAGTGGTAACATGAGACCGATTTTTATATATAAAATATAAATATATTTTAATTTGATAATTTATTTTAAATATTAACAATATAATAAAATAAATGGAAATATATACACCGGCAAATATTTCATATAAATACCTTGTGTGTGTATGTATAGCAGTGGCGAGCCGTCAGGGCCCTCTAGGCCCTCTGTGAGGGCCTAAGATATTCCAAAAAATAATATTTAAAAACATTAAAAAAATATATATATTTTTTAAATATATATTTTTTTAATATTATTTTTGTTATATTTTTCATTAGTTTTACCGAAAAAAAAACTTGATTTAATAAAATAACATTTCCAAAGAAATAAATCCTTCGAATCTGCCTGTTCAGTCTCTGTTTGAATGTCAGTTACTATAGCGGGCCTCTCTGCGATTCACAGAGGGCCCGCTATAGTAACTGAACGAGAGAGTAATGTCAAATGACAGTACAATTGACCAATCATATCTTCCCTCTAAATGGGTGGGTTTTATTATCGCGGACTTTATGACAAGTTCCGCCCGCTGTGAAACTTTTCTTGTTTCCATAGCAACAACAACTTCCTGTCAACAGCGTGAACTCGCCTTCAAAATAAAAGCATGCCAAATTACACTTAAGACATACAACTGCAACGAAAGTAACAAACACAATGCAATATCATTTTCAATGTCAAAGAACACAAATTGGGTTCCCAGGTGTTGTTTTGTGTGGTAGAGGGTCGCTGTCATTGATGCGTTTTGCACCCTGGGCCGTTGTTTTGATATTCCGCTGAAGTATACGCTGTGACGTAATAACTATTTTTTTTTCTTTTTTTCGAGGGAAGTGGTGGGGGTCAGAGGGCCTAGGTATAAAGCTCACGGCTCGCCACTGGTGTATAGCTATTGCTTTTTCTTATGAAAGTCCATGATTATAAGTATGCAGTATCATAACTACATCTTTGATGTTTATAAAAAACCAAACCGTTTGAAAATTGGTTGAAAATTGAGCAAGCTATGGTTATTTAAATAGTAAACCATAATGTTATGAATGAGAGCACTGCCTGTAGCAAGATGGCGGCCATGTGGCAACGTCGGTCTCCATTGGCCAGCAGCGCGGGTGAGTCATCTAGTGTTTATATATATGGTGTCAAGTACAATAGACCTCACATTAAATCATCGAATATCAAATACTATGAAATAGAATATAGAGTGTATTCTTAGAGAAATATTATAAAATAAAGTGTACTTTAAAGGCTCAAAGTGAAGCACACTATAAGATAGTTTGGAATGCTGATGTGACAAAACAAATGTACAATTTGCGGCCATTAAAGTATATCCAATCAAATGTAATTATTAAACATAACATTGATTATCAAAATCAGGAGCTAATCTGATCTCCTCAAGTAAAAGTGCATTAATGTGTAATAATATAAAGTCACAATGATATGAAGCATTAAATAATTTTCGATCCACACATATTAAAATAAAATTTATACATGAATTATGAAAAGTATAAAATGATGTACTATGTACATTTATATGAAGTTATATAGGCCTATACAACATATAGGGTTTATACACAATCAAGTGTTTGGGAAAATATGTATTTTATGAGTGACTCTAGTGACTCTAAGAGGAGCCTTCTGTGAAGCAGATGTCTACTAAAATAGCAAAATAATAAAATGTGTTGTAAAAACAATGTAAAACAATGTAAAACTATTACTATTATTATTAGCGTTAATACATGTCGTATTGATTGAAGTCATCTACTAATTAACTAAGTTAACTTATTGTATACGATAATAATAAATAAACACAATGTCTTCTGGTTTTGCGAATAAATATGTAGCAGGTGTAAACTAATGTAATATTAAAACAGGAGAAGTGCTCTTTTGGTGTATGTGGGTGGCTCTTAAAAGAGCCTTTTGTAGAGGAAGTAGATGATCTGTTTACTTCTTCGCTGCTTTCCTGGCTGGTGCCTTCTTCACAGCTTTCTTGGGGGTCGCTGCCTTCTTGGCCACCACCTTCTTCTTCGGGCTCTTTGTGATCTTCTTCACGGGGGTTTTCTTGGCAGCAGTAGCAGGCTTCTTCGCCTTCTTGGGTGTTGCTGCCTTCTTAGCGGCTGGCTTCTTAGCGGCTGGCTTCTTAGCGGCTGGCTTCTTAGCGGCTGGCTTCTTAGCGGCGGGTTTCTTCGCTGCTGCTGCTGCCGGCTTCTTGGCTTTGGCTGCAGGCTTCTTCGCTACTTTCTTGGGCTTCTCGGCTGCCTTGAAGGAGCCGGTAGCTCCGATTCCCTTGACCTGCACAAGTGATCCATTCTCGAGTAACCTCTTCACGGCGCGTTTAATGTGAGCGGTGTGTTCGTAGCCCTGAGCGGCCAGCGCCTTCTTCACAGCGATGTAATGGCGCATTTCCATTGCAGCGCGTAGCTCGCTTTAAGCGTGCCGTGTCGTGCCGTCCCCTTTTTTGGTTGTGCTTCCACTAGGCCTCGTTCCGGCGCGGCACGGCGCGGGGCCACTTTTTCCCCTCTTTTCTGGCCCTAGAAAATTGTGGTTCTATCGGGGCCAACAAACAGGGCTGAGTCGGGCTGAGTATGCTAAACTAGAGAGAGGAGCGCTGGCAAGAGGGCTAGAACTACAACAAGATGGACATATTTGACCGTGATTTAATTGTAATACACGTTTCAAAATGATGCCGAAGTAACAACATACTGATACCGGTTAGTAAAAACCATGAATTAATGCTTTGTCAAGTCTGCAGACAGACGGCAGGCGAAAAACCTTTTAAAATTCGTGTTTTCTAGATGGAGATTGGCTAAGCTAACGCAGTATATGCCCCGACCGTCCACACTCACAACAACGGCCTATACAGACATAAATAAGGCAGCGACTGTATTCACCATGACACAGGCAGTCTGTGGTGTGTACTTGTTTAACTTTTGTCGAGTTTCTGAACATATATAAGGAGCTGTGAGCTCTGAGTGCTCACAGCTAACGGCTGTGTTGTGTTTCTGGATTTCTCATTGAAGATGACGTCACGGCTCCGCCTACACTGCGTTACTATAGTAACTACCCCAGTTCCTAAACTGTAATGGAAGCGCAGCATGAAGTGAGTCGGCCCTGTTAAGGCCCAACGCGGCCAAGCCGTACCGAGCCGTACCGAGTGTGGCCGAGGCCGACCGTGTAGTGGAAATGCGCCATTAGAGATCCCTTTACGGTCCTTGGAGGCGGTGACCGCCTTCAAGATGAGCTCAGCGGCTCCGGGACCAACCTTCTTGGCCGGCTTGGCTGCCTTCTTCTTCGGGGACTTGGCTGGTGCCTTTGCCGGGGCGACGGCGACTTCAGTGGGAGCTTCTTCTGTTGCCATGATGCTGTCAGGAGGATTCTCGGGTCTGATGAGACGAATAGAGAAATCCCAGCGAAGAGAGGAACTTAAACACACCATGAGAACCGTAGAGACTCAACTCAGTGTGGCTCACACAGGAGCTGCCGAAAAACTGTGCCACTTTGTGTTTTCTCTTCAGCTAAAACTGTAAAAAATACACATTTAGAGAACGAGTTGAATTTCAAAGGTTAATTGAATTCAAAGTGGATGACTTTATCTTCATATAGAAGCCAAATAAAGCTTTAAATATTGTGTTTTTTTCATTGGGAAGGCTTTAAACCTCCTAAAACTGCTGCCGTGAGTGGTACAGATCTGCGACTTTTCTCTGTAATCTCTCTCTTAAAGGATTTAAAATACATTAATATCCCACTAAAACTTGTAATATAATGAAATTAAATGTTGGATTAAAGACTCAATGTGAAAAAAATCCAAATATGTCGCCACCTTTTTGTTAAACAGAGGTAATTCTGCTGTCTGCAAACACACTCAGGACAGGCCCTGGCTGTGTTCTAAATACAGTCTTTAGGCGCGTTCACACCAAGTACTTTTCCCACAGTAGTTCATGAGAACTTTAGTTCTTTTAGTTCTGATGAACTAAAGCAGATCGCGTTCACACCAAAATGAGTTCCTGGGGGTGGATTAGGCAAATGAGCCACTGACGTCACTTCTTCTTCTTCTGCTTTGGGTTTACTGGCAGGCCGCAAACAACTTCACAGCGAGTACAGTAGGTGGCGGTATGCACCTTAAAGTTGCAATCCGCCAAAAAACCGAGAGAAGAAGAAAAAAAACTTCCGCTTCCGCTGTATGCTTCTGTTTACCTTCCGACCTCAGTCAGACACGCTATGGAGTTGACTGAAGTTGTGGTTTTGGTGCTCGTGTTACACAGCTTCGTAACTGAGTTATTTAAGGCGAGACACGGCAGGCAAAAACATCGTTTTTCCTGCACTGGTCAATTTTGAGATTTTGTGCTATTTTGATTCCATAACATGTTTTCTTTCAGGCTTTTGGAAGGAAAACGTACAAAATACACATTTAAGTGTTCATTTTACTATAATTTGTCTATTTGCGTCTGTAGATTTCTCCTACATTCACCAAAAGTTAGCATTCTAACGTAACATAAAGTACCGCGACCGCTGTTTGCACCATGTCTTCAGAGGTATCGTTGGAAAGCTCCGTTTCTCCTGCACAATCTCATCGGATCCAAATATGGTCATTTCCTTTGTATCAGCAACCAATCGTGAAAGTGCAAAGGGGTCTTAAACCAAGAAACGAAATCTCATTGGCTGGTGTCAATTTCTGACAACGTGATTCGTTCAGATGCGTCACGTGGTGTGCTAAAGCACTTCCTGGTTAGCTTTCCGCTAGAAATTTAAATCTGAAAATGGCAAAATAACGGAGAAAAAAACGTTCACAGAGAAGACGACAACAATTGTCACTTGCACAAAGCAAGGTTATACAAAAAACAAATGACCCCGAACATGAAATACCTTCACGGAGTGCGTCGAGGCGCAAGCTATCATCCAGATAACAGGAGGGTTTAGCTAGCGTCACACTGCAATCTTTAACCTGTTCCACTCTGAGCCTGTTTTTCAGGTCTCAGGCTCGAAAATGACATTCCCAGAACAAATGACCATATCTTCCCTTCTAAAAGGGTTAAATTAATAATCTTTTCTCAAAGTAATGATAAACCTGTGAGTTGGATGTAGAAGTGTCAGAATCAATATAAATGTTTTTTATTTTAAAGAAAATTCAGATTTTACATAGTAAAAAACTGTAAATTATAGTGTCCGTCCAAAAATTATTTTTTACAGATAGTGAAAACTACCCTTGGATGATGGGTTAGTAGACTAAAAGCTTTAGGAATCCAAAGTACAACATATAATAAGTACCCTGTATCAAGATTGATGCAAAACAAGTGAAATTTGACCTTTTTAGAGAGATTTAGCCAAAAACTGGGCCATCTGGGGTCATTTGGGTGGATTTGACCTATCTCTGGCCCCCCTTGCTCGATCTGGTTGGTTGACATACCCTTGTGACCGTTAGAGCCAATAGAATCGAAGGAGGATACCTACATAGACACACATTGTAAAGAAAAAATGTTGCCGCTTCGCGTGTGAAAAGCGAAACTAAACTGGAGGAATGTCTCCTTCTGGAGTTTGGAAACTAAAACGCAGTTGTATTGCTTATGGATTATCAGAAATAATTTCAAAGAAGGCACAGACACATAGGATGAACCTATGGATTAACTGCAGCATCGTTTTTTTATCGTTTTAATGCCATTGAAGACCACTTTTGACCAAGGTAAGCCATATTTATATGTTTAGCTTCTTGGCTCCACATGTGATGATGTACGCTTTCGTTGATAGCGTCGCGAATGTTTATCACTGAGTGTTGAGGTGGGCACCGTTAGATTCAGTGTCTCCAGGACACCAAGAAATAGTGTTTGGTTGTGCATCTAGGATAAGTAATAAGGGAGTTCTGAGTGAGTTTATGTGCCTTTGTCGGTCCCGTTTTTTCGATCGAGGCTAATTCAGAGGCTGAGTGCTAGCATTGTGGGTTTTTTTTGAAAAAAATAATTAAAAAGATCAGTTAGCTGAGTTTCTTCCCGTTACATGGATATAACACATTCATAGTTTTATTCAATATTAAGATTCCTTAGACGTTGTTTCCTGCAAATGACGCGTTTATCCGCCCGGTACCGGGGGGAAGGCGTGAAACAGGTTAAAGGTCGTTTTCTCAAAATGAGTTTTTTCTCTTACTCTGAGTTCGAAATGTCCACTTCAGTAGCAGTTACATACACCAAACCTTCCAGTTATATTCCTATCAATATTATGAAGGCTTTTACAGAAGGGTTTGGTCATATATAATTCATAGCCTGAATTATATAACATTTTATACCTAAAAACATGGTGAAAATTGATATTTAGGGATTTTGACAGTATTTTCTGATTTATGGAGTGATACAAAGAGATATCCAAAATCCCTTCTGTAAAAGCCTTAGATACTAATATGACTACAAAATGAAACAATAATTTTGATCCTGGCTTTATCCAAAGTTCAGGTTTCGGTTCCTGAAATGTGTTAAAATATGCGCATATTTCATGAGATAATGGTTCATTTGCATATTTAAACATGCTATTTCAGAAAACTTGTAATACAAAAAACAATTGCCTTATTGTAAGTAATTAACTGGAGAAATGTTTAGCTGATATCTTTAAGTTAAAAAAATTACCCTATTCACCTGGGGTGTCTCGCCTTAAGCCAATAACTCAGCCACAAATACAGATCGACCATTCAAATGCAATAGCAATGCTGATTCGGAGGCGAAGGCGGTTAAGAAGCCTTAACAAAAGGACTGGACGGCGACAAGCACACGCTATGGACATGTTTCGTCGTAGGACAGCTGAGGATGATGACCGTTATCACGCCCAAAGAACAGCAATGGTACGTTCATTAAATCACATTAATACTATCTAATGTAGGATTTATGGAGTTATGTAGGGCTAATTTGTGTCTTTGTATGTGTTCCAGATATGCGGTGCTTGATGAAGCGAAACGACTGCAACATGGACAATATCAAAATCCAGGTGGCAGCATGTTGCGTATTGCATAACCTGTGTGAGCGTCGTGGTGATGAGTACAGGGAGGAATGGACTGCCTTACCGGCGACCCAGCTTGATGGGCCAGCGCCAGACATTGTTGAGGCTGGGGGGCAAGACACGCGCACAGCCCTTATGACGCATCTGAACATGTAAATTGACAATAAAGCTGATCTTTTGTACAGTGCTTTTGGTTCTCTCTTTTATTTACCACAGTCAACAGACAAAATTACAATAGTGCATACACACCTTAGTGCAAAGATAAAATGTCAGTATCAAAACAGTACTCATACTGTATATTTGTATATTAATGAGTATATTATTATGTTGAATGTGTGTTAAAGACAATGGGATGAGGTTGAAGGCTCTTAAAAAAGCTTTTGTATACCATCTTTACTGTGATAAATACATACATGTTAAGCATACACACCTGAAGAACTACGTACGTGCAGCAGATCATCTTCACTGTGTGTTGTCGCCCAGAACCGCACAATACAGGTGAAATACTGAGTAGAAATACTGTCAGCAGAACAATGCACTTCATCAGTCATGACTTTTCAATATTTATAATAGTTTTTAAGTACTTTAAAATAGCTAAGTAATAATGAGCAATGATGACAACCATTCATATTTTTTTGTTTATTACAAATTAAAGTAAAATATACACAAGTGTCTTGATTAAATGATTGTAGAATAAGCATTTTGGACATTTGCCCTGCAGCCACGAATTGCATTAAAAGCAGCAAGAAACTTTGAATTGATTTCATTTTATACACATTTATATCTGAGTAGGCAATATCAATATAATCAATTACTGTAGTACATGTCATTCATTTATTTGTGATATAAAGTCTATGCCTAGGTGGTGCATATTCTGGAAAATCAATTGAGAAACAAAAAAAGAACAAAATCTCAAATTAAGTTTAAATGACTTCTTCTGATTTGTCTGACCATAGGAAAGAGTTAGATAAGAAATAATACCACTAACATGTCTGTAGTATTGCACAGTAAATAGGCTCAGCAGTTAACACCTTTATTATATATCCTCCTGAGAGGAACTCAGTTCACGAACTCCTATGTTCCCTTACTATAATTCATTAAAATATTGAACTCACAACACTGTTAATTACAAACTTAACCATTTATCTTTCTATAAATAGTGTTTGTGTTGATGGACGCCATTTTGAAATACAATTGAATGATTGATGACACACCTTAGTGCAAAGTTAGGCGTCAGTATTAATAACAGTGGCATATATATATATATATATATATATTATAATAATACAAAATGTACTGTCCCAGATGTAGGCAATTTGGGGTGAAGTGTCTTGCCCAGGGACACAACGACATGCTGACTGCAGTGGGGTTTGAACCTGTGCTCCCCTGATCCGAACACCAACGCACTCAGCCACTGCGTCACACGCCTCCCAACAAGTCATTGTATAGTTGACTAACGACGACAAGTTTTTCTTTTCTTTTTAATTGGAGGCCTGTTGGATTTAACCAGCTCGCTTAGCACTCCCAGAAGCCCAGCCTGAAAGCTATTTTGTTGCTCCACCTGGAGCGCCGCCACCTCCACCTGGCGCGCCGCCGAGTCAGCCATCACCTTTAGAAGCTGGTCCTGCGATTCCTGGGCCTTGTGTGCATGCAGCAGCCGTTCGTCGTGCATCTCCTTGTTGGCCATGGCATGCCGGTCATCATTTTCCTTGCTGGCCAAGGCACACCGGTCATCCATCACTGTGATGGTGTCCAGGAAGCTGTCATCCCGTGTCCTCTTTCCTAATAGGAGAAATAAGCCAAGTAGTTTTACAACTTACTAGGAATGTGTTTACTAGCTAATATAAGATAGGATCAAATAGCTGACGCTCAAAGTGCCCTTATTTATTGTTTTGTGCTTGATGTATGCTAGAATTTTATTTTGTCAAAAAATGATTAAGAGCTTTCTTACCAGAAGTCATGTGGAGGGGAAAGCTCACTGATATCCAATTCCAGGGGAAACACCACGTTGCCTGAAACACACGATTAGTGCCATGAGTTAGTGAAGCAAATTACAGAACATGGCACACTTATTCACAAGTCAAAACGTTTTTATAGCGGCCAAGAATAGCTAGTGAGCTAGCTAGCTGTTATTAGCTAGCTATGTTCTGGCCTGCTAACAGTGTTACCCAATTCAACCTAGCATTGCTAACTCAATCTACCGAGCCATAAAAGTACATATGTGACCATTATTGTGCAGATTAAAACAGTGCAGTGCATGTAGTATATTTTACCTAATTCGTTGTCGTCCTTGGGCAATTCCACCGCCATTGCATCCTCCCACCCCATCGTGCTAGAAGCGATGGTCTTTGCGGTGCCGGAGAATGTGGGTCTGTGGACAAGCAAAGCATCCAAACGATCGTACCACTTGCTGGTCTTCCGACCGTTACCACTCTTGTTGTTGTGGTCTTTTATTTTTTTGTAGTCCTGCTGGTTTTGCAAAAAAGTAATCTCTTCGTTGCTACGCTGAGATTTTAATGCGTGCAAGTAAAATGGCTGCTTTTTAAAACTTTTCGGGAGTTGTACGGGGCGTGGTTTGCATTCCGCACAGCCAATCAGACGCACAAACTACTTTCTCCCACAACAGTCCCTGCTCTCTAGCAGGGACTGAAAAGCGGGTCTGACGAACTAATTTGAGCTACTTTAGTTCCTGGGGCTTTTTGGTGTGAACGCAAATATATCGTAGTTCTGATTAACTATTGTGGGAAAAGTACACCAAAGTACTCCGGTGTGAACGCACCTCTTGTTACTCAACAGTGAGAGACCTTAATTTAGCACAGCTTTTCTCATGTATCACAATACAATTATATTTATATAGTATGAGTATTATCATATATTTTAAGAAGACCTTTGACTGGCACTTTTCTAATTTTGTCCGGAAGATTTAAACGTTAATGGACATCTTGACCGGCGAAAGAAACTGAAACTGAAACTCTGCCGCACGGTCCCCTCGTTCCTTGGAAGAGGCGGAGAGGTGGGTGTTTGTCATCTGCTGGTGGACTAACCGGAGAGAATTACAGTGCTTGCCTCGACGGGGAGGGATTGCATTGAATTAAAGCAGCAGAAGGAGCAAACGCTTGCCTCGGGGAGGGAGAAAAAAAGCCACAGCGGAGAATAAACAGAAGGGTAACCATGGTAACCAAGTCTTCTTCGCTGCTTTTGTGGCAGACTACAGCGCCACTTAGGGGCCTGTTATATGTACTACAGCGTCTCCAGCGCTTTCGAGCGGCAATGGCCGGCCGTGGCCCAACCCCACATTCCCCTGATAGGTGGAGAGTTGGCCCAATAGCCGTAGCGCCACTTTCCTGATGTCAGTAAAGTGTTCAAATCTGGATCAGTTTTAATCAGATCCGTTGCAGCCCCTTTTTTAGAGATTTGGGTATGGAGGAAAATAGAGAGGGTTGTGTTTTCTGACACTTGGTGAGTTCCCTGGAACACCGGGGACACATATTCATGTATAAAAGACGTACAAAAGTGCATTTTGCATGATAGGTCATGATAGGTCCCCTTTAAATAGCAGGTGCGCTGGCATAATAAGTAAGGGAGTGCACTTAGACAATGGGCTGAACTGGAGGATCAACACTGACGCTGTGTACAAGAAGGGGATGAGCAGACTCTATTTTCTGAGGAAGCTGAGATCCTTCAACGTATGCAGCAAGATGCTGGAGATCTTCTATCAGTCTGTGGTGGCTAGTGCACTCTTCTTTGCTGCGGTCTGCTGGGGGAGCAGCATAAGAGACGGTGACACCAGCAGGATCAATAAACTGATCAGGAAAGCTGGGTCAGTCATCGGCATCAAGCTGGACCCCTTTGAAGCTGTGGTGGAGAGGAGGACACTGAACAGGCTGTTGTCCATCATGGATAACCCCAGCCATCCTCTCCACCTGCAGCTGGACAGTCAACGGAGCTCCTTCTCCAACAGACTGCTGCAGCTCCCCTGTCACAAGGACAGATACTGGAAAACATTCCTGCCCACTGCAATAACACTGTACAACAAATCACCTCTGGCTGGAAGAGAACTCTCTGCTCCATAGTTTCTCTTGGAATAAAACCACGTTGTACATTTTACTCTATAATCTGTTCAATATTTATACTCCATATTCCATATATTTTGAATATATATATATATATATATTTGTATATATATATATATATATATATATAATATCTGCATGTATATTTTCTATTTCGACATGTATATTTTATATTTTATATTTTATTTTATTTTTCTTTCTATTCTTGTATATTTTGTAGTTTTGTTTTATTGTAAAATGCCTTTTATGCTGCTGTAACAACAACAATTTCCCAATTTGGGATCAATAAAGTACTATCTATCTATCTATCTATCTATCTATCTATCTATCTATCTATCTATCTATAATGCCAAGCAGCATCACAGAGGGAGGAGACATCCGATCACATATACATCTTCTTGTCCTGCAATTTATGTTATATTTCTAATGTTATTTGGTTAACATTTCTGAATAAAAACAATGTATTGTGGTGAAACTGCTGGTCATTCATCGTGACCTTGAGAATATATGTGATAAACAGTCAGAAGATAATGCTTTATTTTAAGAGTATGCAGAATACCAATACATGAGAGAAAGAAACAAGCACCTTTAACCTGTGTTAAATAATAAATAAAGTTAAAATCCTAGTCAGACATGTGTGGAGCCAAAACACCTAAGAAGCCTATTTAAAGTCTCTAAAGTTTATTAAAGGTGTTTCTTGGAGCAGATTTTGTGATTGTATTGTAATAGTCTTTAATGAGTGTAACAAATAACTCTAAAGTAATCAAGTTTCTCAAAAACAGCCCCCGATTTAAATGTTCCAACTGTTTGTGTGTTTTTTGTAAATGCGTTTCTGCTGTGTCTTTTAAAGTTAAACATACGAAATTAAAAGACGCAAAATGTATAAATAAAAATCATAAAAGTGATATGATAAAGTATAGAGGAATACACTTTATATGATTGACGTGTTATCGGAAAAAATAAATGTACTGGCATACTGTAAATCACTCCAACAGGCAAACGGCAGGTTACTTAGTTTTCTGAAGAAGAACAGATAGGCCTACATGTTATCAAAGTGTTACATTAAGTTAAATTATCCTAAATCAGTGAAGTGTAAAAGAAAACATACCGACTCTCTATCAGAACCGAGTACAATCCCACGACTCTTTTGAGTGTGTTTGCAGAGACAAAACTAACCTCTGTTTAACATTAAAATATTTATATTTGTAAACTTTGTTTAGGTTAGGTCTTTAACCAAACATCTTATTTCTATGCCCAACTAGTTTAAGTCGAATTTGAAAGTATTTTAAAGCATTTAAGAGGGAAATTAGAGAGGAAAGTCACATATTTATGACTCACACGGCAGCATTTGAGGGAGGTCGAAAGGCTTCCCATTAAAATAATAACACAATATTGAGGTCAATTTCACTTTTACATGAAGATAAACTCCTTTGCTATCGTTTAAGGTGAAGTTTACAATATATGGTTCCCTCCAGGTGTGATTTTATTACATTTGTTCGTGAAGAGAAAACACAAAGTGGCACAGTATGCCTGCTGCTCCTGTGAGACAGGCTGCGATTGAGTCTCTACGGTTCTCATGGTGTGTTTAAGTTCCGCTCTTTGCTGGGATTTCTCTATCAGTCTCACCAAGACCAGAGAATCTACTTTGAAAGCAACATGGCAGAATCCGCTCCCGCTGCCGCCGCACCGGCCAAGTCCCCGAAGAAGAGAGCCACCAAGCCGAAGAAGGCAGGCCTCAGCGCCGCTGATCTCGTGCTGAATGCCGTCACCGCCTCCAAGGAGCGTAAAGGGATTTCCTATGTCGCCCTGAAGAAGGAGCTGGCCGTTAAAGGCATCGACAACGCCAACCAGGTGAAACGCGCCGTGAAGAAGTTGGTGGAGAATGGAGCCCTGGTGCAGGTCAAGGGATCCGGAGCTAGCGGCTCCTTCAAGGCAGCCAAGCCCGCCGAGAAGCCCAAGAAGGTAGCGAAGAAGCCCGCAGTCAAAGCCAAGAAGCCAGCAGCAGCAGCAGCGAAGAAACCCGCCGCTAAGAAGCCAGCCGCCAAGAAGGCAGTAACACCCAAGAGGGCGAAGAAGCCTGCTACTCCTGCCAAGAAAACCCCCGTGAAGATCACTAAGAGCCCGAAGAAGAAGGTGGCGGCCAAGAAGGCAGCACCCAAGAAGGCAGCGACCCCCAAGAAGACCGCAACCCCCAATAAAGCTGTGAAGAAGGTGGTTAAACCAGCTGCCAAAGCAGCGAAGAAGGCACCAGCCAGGAAAGCAGCGAAGAAGTAAACAGATCATCTACTTCATCTACAAAAGGCTCTTTTAAGAGCCACCCACATACACCAAAAGAGCACTTCTCCTGTTTTGACATGTTTATATTTTGCAAAACTAGAGTACCTTATGTTTTACAAGAAGTTAATTAACTGATATAAAGATGACTTGAATGAAACATGAATAACATGTTACCTGGTATACTACATTCATACATCTATTTCCTCTTAGTACAATACATTTTATTATATTGTTATAAAGACATCTACTTACATATTCTCTCTAAAACATTATCCCTTACATGTACATTATTTCCTATATGACATTGTTTTAACGTACATATTTCATAATTACATACTATTATTATATTAAAATGTGTCTTTACTACACATTAACTATTACCCTCACCACCCTCTCCACCTGCAGCTGGACAGACAGCAGAGCTCCTTCTCCCACAGACTGATCCAGCGTCTCCTCTGGCTGGCAGAGAGCTCACATTAGCTTCTCCTTCTCCAGAACCATGAACCCTCTGCACAACAGCAACCTCGCACATCTGTAATTTGGATAAAAGCGTCAGCTAAATGCAATGTAATGTAATTGATATACTTTGGTATATAAGTCAACTATATGTAAACATTTGAATCCATCCACAATATTCTATAATGTGAATCATTTTTAATATATGTATTTTCTACTATACTACTATTCACTGTTTATTTTATTTTGTATCTTATTACTAATATACTTTATTCAAACATTTTTTATTGTTTAATGCCTGAACACACTGTAACATAATAATTCAGTACATTATTGAAATTATCATGTTATCACAATTCCAATTAAACTTAAATTAAAAAAGGTTACTGAAACAATATTATACAAAACCCACAAGTTTATTATATATATGAAGTAAAACAATCATGTGCATTGTAGAATAATAATCATATTATAGTATAGCACGTTACCTTTGTGTACTTTTTAAACATAATAGTATAATGC